AAGGAGACTGATCAAAACTGGACATAAAAATTAAATTAAACACCCCCAGCACAAAATGTCCAATTCCAATGGCTATTCCATTAGCCCACCATACACACCTTAGCTGTATTAACAGCTGCCCCATATCCAGTGCAGACCCCACACCCAAGGAGGCAGACTTTATCCAGAGGAGCAGCCGGGTCGATCTTAGCCACAGCCATCTGGTTCATCACAGTGTACTCAGAGAAGGTGCTGGTCCCCATAAATTGCTGCAGTTTCTGCCCCTTACAGGTGAACCTGGAATGTTCTGTGCTTTTCTGGACGCGCCTTTTCCTAAACAAGACATATTTGATGTGCATAAAAAAACAAAAAATTCCAAAACAACTTTTAAAAGTATTCCTCTCGTTCCTTTTAGATGGTGCAGTGAATAATATAAAAGGAATGAAATCAACAGTTACCTAGTTGATAAAAAGACGAGTAGTCGGAATACTTTCATAACATTTATATCTAGTCTGTAAAAATGTGCAATGTGTGTAAAAGCACATGAAAACTGAATAAGATGGCATGAAATGAGTCTCACATTGCTTCTTCACACCGGTTGGTCTTAGGACTCTTACAGAAGCGACATTCTCCACACTGGAGTAGGCAAAGAGGAATTACCTTGTCTCCTGGAAGACAGAAAGCATTGAGCCTCATTTACAGCATGTATACACAAATCCATACGTAACCTGTCAAACATTTCACATCCACAGAGGATGACAAACATTTCACATAGAGCACCTAACTTGTTTATGCTCCGTGAACAAATTTAGAAGTGCTTCTGACCTTGCGTATGAACAAATTATGAAAGTCTGAACATTTTTAAACTCCATCCATTTCAGCATGAATTCGTTTTCAAAACACTGCAAGATAAAATATCCTTAAAATTCTAAAATATACATTTCTTGTACAGAAAAGAATACTAAATGAAACATTACCTTGTTGTTTTATAATTGCTTGCATTTTTGTTACAAACTTTAGACACAGGGTTGAGATGAGTCTTCTTCTTTCTCTCTTGCACAAAATGCAAATAAGCATATTTTTGGATGTTAAACAATCTCAAACAAACCTGGCTGAAATTCCGTGACTCCCGGCCCAACACTCTCTACAATGCCGGCTGCCTCATGACCGAGGATGGTTGGGAAGAGCGATTTGTCCAGACTCTCATAAAGGAAGTACAGGTCTGAATGGCACAGAGATGTTGCCACAATCTACAGCAAATATGACGGTAAAAGAAGCACTGAATGAGGTTATAGGAGTTTAGTTGTAGAAAAGCGTAAAGAACATACATGCACATGCATACAAGAGCATCAAAGCCGGCTGCTTCTTACCTTAACGCGGACCTCATTGGCCTGGGGTGGGGCTACCTCTATTTCTTCAATCACCAGAGGCTTCCTGGATTCCCAGGCCACTGCTGCCTTGCACTTGATGACCTTAAATGGCAGAGTTACAATATTAAAATTATCCACCAAGGTCATTTCTGTAAACCAACTTAACAGAGCAGATGGAGAAATTTAAATAAAAATCTTTAAATATGCAATAAAGGAAATTATTAATCAGTGGCTGACCCCCCTTAACACTAGTGCCATTTCAAAAGTTTTGTGACTATTATGACCACTTACACCAGGGGTGTCCAACTCCAGGCGTCAAGGGCCGGTGCCCTGCAGGTTTTAGATCTCACCCTGGGTCAACACATCTGAATCAAATGATTAGTTCATTACCA